TGAAGCTTTTTCTTTTGATTTCAAAATAAATGGTCTCAACTCTAAAGTTTAAGAAAAAATAATACTAAATCTCAAGAGTATGGATGTCTAGCAATAACCATAAGCCAACATCCAAAGTTCAAAAAATATAATATAGTAAAATAGTGAATGATAGAATTATATGATATGTATCACACCATCCAATTTCTATCATCGCCTTCATCTCTTTCAAATTCTTCAGGTGGCATGGCGAAGTCTTCATTATCAAGATCTATTTAGCCTCAACAGCATCCATTTCACCATTGTCCTTATCAACTTCATGTTTGATGTTTCTGTTTTCATCGATTTTGCTTTCCGAGACCAAGATAAGTGCATCACCTTTACTAACCATCTCAGTTTCTACACACAAAAAAACAGCAATTACAAGTTGATAGAAACTTCCCATTACAAATTATTATAGAGGAGAATGAATTTATTTAACCAAGAATCGAAATTACCTTGTTGTATTGCTTCAAAAAGCTTTTCACCTCCTGAGATTGGAACAGATTCAGAAGTAGCAACAAGACCATCTATGCTTCCAGATACTTTGTCCTTCTTCTTCACAATTTTTCTTGAGCGTTTAGGAGCAGCATCAGTAGGTTGCTTCGTGTCTCTCGTTGTTCGCGTTCTCTTCTTCGATTCAGATCTTTTTTTAACAGTTTGGTTGGCTTGCACATCTTTTTCTTCATCCATGTAATGCACATCTACAAGTTCCTCATCATAAGTTTGCTTATTTACTACTATACTATTTTTCTTAAATGTCTATAGAACATCAAAAGTTATAACCGAAGGCAAATCACTAACTATATACCTTAACAAATAAAGCAAAGAGAGGTTACCTTTTCCTATTACAAGATCCGGTACTTGTGCAAGAGTCAGATCCTTGGTGATCTCTGTCCTTTCCTCAAGCAAAGGAGGGTTTGGACAAGTTTGGTCAGCAGGCGTTATAGTCACCATGTCCTCCTCAACTCCTAGGACATCGACACGTAGAAACCAGTTCTTCTTACTGATGCCGTAAAAAATCTTACTCAAAATCAGAGAATCAGGCAAGTGGTAATAAAGACCCTCACGTTCAACCTAATAGAAAACCACTCCTTAGTTGGTGTAATTGCT